ACACAGGAGTCCTGCCAGCCCCCACCCTGCTTCCTGCCCCCATGGACTCCAGGGAGCCCCTGCACCCGACTTTGAAACAACGCTGAAGGCCCTCCATTTCCCCAGAGGGATCCTGTCACTTCCACTTGTTTAGTACAGTATGTAACCTTGAGGTTCATCGAAACAGGTGTTTACTAAATTATTTTAATAATGACAGTCGTGGCTGGGAGTGTTGCTTCATTATCAGAACGCTTAGCACTTATGTCACTAAATATTTAGCACCTGATATTTTGCAAAAACAATTCCCCATGCCATTAAAAAATTGTTTTTTCTAATCAGTCTTCGGCTCTCATCCTCAGAGCCCACGATAGACTCAGGCAACTGTGAGGACAGAACCTAGAAACAGACTCAATCAGGGTGATTATCTCACTAATTAGTCTTGTTGTTAAGTCTCCAGGTGTTTCCCAAACAATCCACCTGATTCCTTTTTTTTTAAGATTTTTTTTTTTTTTTGATGTGCACCATTCTTAAAGTCTTCTTTGAATCTGTTACAATATTGCTTCTGCTTTTCATTTTGGACTTTTGGCCTCTGAGGCATGTAGTTCCTTGGCTCCCTGACCAGGGATTGAACCTGCACCCCCCTGCACTGGAAGGTGACGGCTTAACCACGGGACTGCCAGGAAAGTCCCTCACCGGTATCCTTTGGTCCACACTGGAAAATAAAATTGTCTCCCGATTTCAAACGCAGAGCTCGGACTCCAGAGTCTCCTTGAGGCGGTGTCGGCTGACAGGTCACTACCGAGTGACCTCCGACCCCAGCCAGAGGGTCTTGGGCCAGGAGGGGTGGGTGCTCCAGCTCCTCAGGCACTGTCAGGCCGTCGCCCGGGGCTCCTGGGCCCTGGGAACTTGCCTCAACAGCTGAGGAAATTCATTCATCCCCCAGGGTCAACGCTATGCTAGGAGGTGGAGCAAAGAAAGGGATGGGAATGAGAACTCGGTGGGGAGGAGAGGAGGGGGGCAGGGACCCAGTGCTGAGAAGCAGAACAGACCTCAGTCACTTCCTACCCGAGGTCTCAGGAGCTTTGCTGCCATTCCAGACACCAGGACACCAGCCAGACTCATAAACGGAGATCAGCTGTGAAGTGTCTACCCAGTTGTTTCTGAGGGGAACGTCTTCTTGCCTTTGAGCAATCCCACAGGCCAGCCCCTCCCGGCCCCACACTCCAGCAGGGCCTCAGGCCAGGCCTGGGACCCACCAGCCCCTCTGGTCACCAAGCCCTGGGGAGATTAATCTGGGGAGGAAATACATACAGGGAGGATATTAACGCAGGACCGTGACAGGTTCAGCCTAGCGGATGCTGCCTGTGCTAGAGGTCATTGCAGGGCTGGGGCAGGAGGGACGATGAGGTGGGAGAAATCCAAAGTGGGTTCAGTACTGGAGAGGGAAGGGGGTCGTGAGGGCATGTCATGTGCACGGCGGGGCACCCCAGTCTTCGGGGCCTCTGCCCTGGGGCAGGTATGCCTATGAGGCATAGCAGCCAGGTTGCCCTCACCTGTGCCCCCCACCGCAGGTGCCCCTCCTGACACCCAAGCCCCGGAGCGCCACCTCCTGGAGGAGGCAGGAAGCATAGCCCCTCTGGTCTGGGGGCTGCTTTCATCCCCCCAGGGTCAAGGCTGTGCCAGGAGGTGGGGGACACAAAGATCAGCAGGCCCTCAGACCCTGACCTGAGACGCCCCTGGGTCTCCTTCTGCATCCAGCTTACACCCAGAAGAACCCATCTCAGGCAGTTCTAAGTCACAGAGAAAACTGAAGGAAGAGTCCCAAGTCATCTCCAAGACTCATGGGCCAATGGCTCACCATCTCCTGTACCTGTAGCATCAACTTGTAGAGAACCATTCACCCAAGGAGAGGCACAGGTGTGCAACGGTTCGGGGACTACATCACCAGTCTTCCTGTCTGCCACGTACCAGGTCCCCAGAGGGCATTAGGCTCTTGTGTAATCTATTTAAAATAGCTCTTCTTTATTCAGTGTGTGTGTGTGTGTGTGTGTGTGCATGCGCGCATACACGCGCGCACATTTAAATACTGTTTGCATGTGTTCCATGGAAATAATGAATAATTGATTCTTGTAATAGATTCGATTGTCTAGTACTCTGATACACTGGAAAGTGTCTGAACGGTACTAGGAATGGTATTTAGAACCTTAAAAGCCCCTTTCTCCAGGTTCCTCCACGCAGAATCTGAGAAAGAGAAGCTAATGTCACCCCTTCTTCACCTGCACAAGCTGGGGTGAAGGTAACAATGCCCTCTGACCCCTCACCGTGATTACTATCACTTTATTACGATGAGGACTGTCCTGCTGCATCACTAAGTCCCGCTTTGAAAAGAAAAGCACGGTGTGTCTTCCACTCCCAGAACACACCTCCCCCTCTGCCTCATCTCCAGCAGATAAGGGACATTCTGATGTTTTATTTGTTAAATGGTTGACTATTAAGAAACTCATTTGCTAGCTGGAGCCTGCAATGGAAAATCAGCCCAGAAAAGTGGGAGGCTGGCGAGCGACCAGAGCAGATGGGAGATGGAGGTGAGGGGAGGCCCATAAGCCCCTTCCAGCCTGGACCTGGGGTCGGGGGCCAGCCCTTGGGGAACCTGCGTGCTGTACCAACGTGCTGACCCCCTCTCCACACCCTGACCGCCCCCCTACACACACACAGCACTGCAAACCAGGGCGAAAGGACCCATGCACTAAGCAACGGGAAGAGGAGGGTGTAACCCCCAGCCCCGGCAACTTCTCCAGCCCTCCACTCTGGCTGTCACCACCCGCCCAACATCATCATCTGCTCCTCAGGCCTCTCAGGTCCTGAAACCCTGACCCCGGGCATGTTCCATCGCCCCGTTAGTTCCGAAGCCACAGCCAGCCCTTCCTGGCAGACACTCCTGCTCCTCCAGGTCTGCCCCTCCTCCTCGCCTCCTGCCCCAGGAAGACCCCAGCAATGCCAAGGATGGGGGGGAGGAGGGGGAAGACAGCAGGGAGACAGGGGTCCTGGTGCTCTCACACCTGAGAACCACGTCCAGGAAAGGAGGCAAAACTGCTCCGAGAATTATATAATCACTGCGGCTTCAAGGGAGAGGACTGGGATCCAGGTTGCCATAGCGTTTGTGGCGTGTGGCTGGGAAGGCAGCGTGCCCGGCCACGCGCCCTGCTGCCTCCTGGCCCCTCCATCTTCCTCACAGACCTCACAGGGCCTCGGCTCCTACTTTGAATGTCTGCTCTCCGCAGATGGGAGGGGAGGAGGCGCTGGGGGACGGGGCGGGGCGGGGGCAAAAGGAAGAGAGAAAAGGGCCAAGAAGGATTTGTCTGGCACAGAAAGGGGGCCCTAGGAACTGCTGAGAATTATCACCATGTGAATAACAATCATAACTACAGGGCACTGCCATTGTGGGTGACAGCCAGGACGTGGCCACTGGGTGCTCCGCTTCAAGGCTGCCTGGACTGAGCTGGGATCCCCGAGGGCAGAAACCTACCCTCCTCCGCTCTTCACAGACATCACCCTTTCTTCTGTGTCTCTCCCGCCTCCCTCTGAATCCGTCCAGGACTCCATCAGGAGGGGCGCAGGGAAACAGGTGAGGGGTGGGACATGGGGACAGAGTTGCCCTCCTGACCTGAAAGCCATGGCTCATCCTAGAACCCATGGCCCTTGACACAAACCTTTCGACCAAAAGAGGCCACAGTCTCCCCATGGCCACCCAAGCTGGAGATCAGTTTCAGGTTGGACCGAGCCCAGGGAAGCTGCCCGGTGGCCTCCGGCTCCAAATGGGTAGGGACTCTGCCTGCTAAGGGTGAGGCTGGGGGTCAAAGGAGAGAGGAGGCTGGAAAGGAGAGACACGGAGACAATCCCTCCACCAGGCTGTCCTCACAGGAGCACCTGATGTGCCCAGAAGTAGCAGGACCAACAGCGACAGGTACTGAGAAGGAAAGGGTTGGAAGGAAGCATGTAAACAGGGAGGCTTGGGAAACTGGGAGAGGCGAAGCAGAGCCTGCACCCAGAGGCAGAGGAAGCCACGGGGGAGGCCCAGCCGGAGCTGGAGGCGGCCACACTCCAGCAAGACCGGCCCTCTCCCCTCCATCTTGACCTTAATTGCTGAGTAGTGCCAAAAAATAACAACTTGTTAATATGGGCGGGGGTGGGGGGGTGTGAGGGAGAAAGTTTCCAGGAAGTGGGGAGTTGCCTGAAAGCCTTCCCCCCTCTCAGGGGGAGCGGCTGACACTTGATGCCAAGGATGGAGACGCTGGAAAACACTGGGCGACAGTGTACAGCCGCGTGAGCTCGGCACACCCTTTATTATTGCCTTAAAACATGAGAAAGCAGAGCCCACACACCGCCCGATTTCTAACCCCCGCTGACATCCTCAGGTGCTAGCCCGCATGTGGGTGCGAATAAGAACACACGGGGCGTGGGCGCGCGGGGTCAGTGGCTGCAGAGAGGTGGGAGGGTGTAGGTGAGCCGAGAAGAGGGACACAGGGAGAGGGAGAGATGGAGGGGGACACAGGGGGAGGGCAAGAGAGGGAGAAGGAAAGGGAGAGGCGCCGAGAGACTCACAGCCGTCTCTCGGGCCCCACCCGCCCCCTGGAGCGCGCTGCCCGGGCGGGGGCGCAGGGCCGGGGCGCCGGGCAGCGGGCGGGGGAGCCGGCCGGCCTGGTGCGGGGCGCGCGCGCGCGCGCTCCCAGCCGCGCCCGGGCGAGGCGAGGACCCCGGCCCGCGGGGCCGGGGGCGTCGCCGGCAGGGCAGTCGGGCTCCCCTGGCGAGCGCGAGCCAGCGAGGCCGGAGCAGACACTTGGGAACTTTTCCCCTCGCCCGAAATTTCTCCGGACGCGCGGCTCGGGGGGCCCGCGGGCGCAGGCGGGGGAGGGGCGGGGATTTTCCGCTCGGTTCGGCCCGGGTCCCGCGGGCCCCCGGCCGCTCTGGGAGAAGGACACGCGGGCGAGGCCGGCGAGCGCGGCGGCGGGGTCCAGCCTTACCTTGGTGGTTCTCCTCCGGAATGTACATCCTCGTGTTTTCATTGACCATGGACCAAGATTCGTGTGAGCAGGAGAAGAAGCCACGAAGAGGAGGAAATGTCAAACACCCCCGAGCGGGTCTGCCCTGATCCCTGCTCCGGGCCGGCGGTTCTCGTGCAGAATCGAGGAAGCCGTGGGTCTGCAGCAGCTCTTCTTTCCCTCTGACGATTACCTGATCCCCATCATTGCATCAAACACCAGAAACCGTTCCTTTCCACTCCTGCCTCCTTCAGCGGGGCTGTAACGCATCCTCAGCACATCCGGGCCCCTTTCAAGAATTCAGCGCCGCACCTCTGGCGGCCACAGCATTTGAGAAAATAAATCGGGAGGCAGAGCTAGAGGAGGCGGAAGGGAGAGGGGCGCGCGGACCCCAGGACTGGGGGAGGGCCCGCCGGCCGCCGGCCCGAACCGTCTCCGCCTGCTCTCGGCGCGTCCTCCCCGGCCCGGCTCCGCTTTCTCTGCCCGAAGGTCCGGCGAGTCCCGAGGGCTAGGAGGCAGGAAGGCGCCGCCGCTCCGGGCCGCGCCGCGCGCCGCTCTGGCAGGAGCTGTTTCTGCAGAGGCGGCGAGAGGGAGCCGCGGGCAGGAGCGCGGAGCGCGGCGCTCACCCCGCGGCCCGCCGCCCCGCCCGCCCGCCCGGCGCGCCCCAGGCGGACGCGCTGAACGCTTCCAGATGTGGCGGCGGCGCGCGGGGCTGGGCGCACGGCGCGGGGCGCACAGCGCGGGGCGCGCGGAGCCGACTCGAGTCCGGCTAGAGCCCCAGCTCGCCGGATCGCCCGCGCCTCAGCCCACATGCCGTCCAGACACACCCCTCGCGCCCCGCCCCGGCCCCCACGTCCTGCGCGGGCGCCAAGGCGGCGAGGCCTCGGGCGCGCAATTCCAGGAGGGGCTGCCATCAGCCCTCCTAGAGTCTCGACGGGTCGGGCCACTGAGCAAAAGGAGTCGCGATGCCAAGGCTCTGTTTGATCCATTAGGACCAGGGCGGTTGCACGAGTGGCGTGGAGAGGCGAGGATGGGGAGAGACAGGGCAGGGAGAGAGGGCCCGAGGGGCGGAGCCTCCTGGCGAGGCAGCGGTGCCCAGATGTCTGAGCAGATTAATAGACCGAGGTTTCTTAATTCCTCCGAGGCACCGGAGCACGTGTGCTACTCGAGATCCTTACCTTCTCCTCTTAATTATTTCTGCCACTCCGGCGGGAATCCACGGAGCGCTTTCCTTCCGGAGCGGCGGACCTTTCTCCCCATCCTCAGGCAGCCACGGAAGGTCCATGGCACCCCCTGCAGGCCCGGGCTCCTGACATTGGGCTGCCTGGGCCCTGGCAGGGGCGCCTACAGCTCCCACTTTGGAAAACGCCCCGCTTCCTACTTTCAGACCCTCACTCCCCAGCCGCCCTCCTCCCCGCGGGAGGAGCCCATCCATCTCCTGTGTCCGTAGTGTGACCAGATTTGTGTGTCCGGCCCAGACCCGTCTTCCTGAACGCCAGGCTACATGGCCAACTCAGTCTCCGCTCGGGCGTCTCAAAACCCAACAGATCCAATGCGGAATTCCTTGTTTTCGGTGCAATACCTGCTCCTCAGAAGGCTCCCCATCTCTCGGTTGATGGGACCAAAGATCTGGAGTGGTTCTTGATTGCTTTCTCTGATCCAGTCCTTCGGGAAATCCCAAAGACTCTTGAATGTGACCACTTCTCAGTTCCCCCGCTGCAACCCCAGCCGGAGCCCACATGCCCCTCACTCGAGCTCCTGCAGAGGGTCTGTCCCCTTTCGAACCCCTCCTGTCCTTGGGTATCTTCTCAATACACCACCTGAAGGGTCACATGTCAACACCTCTCTCTGCAACCGCACCTACCCCCCCCACCCCCCCGCAGGGCTCCCTGTTCACTTAGTAAAAGCCAGGCCCTCAGGGCAGCCTCCAGGGGCCCGCGGCCGGTGAGTCCAGGTGCCCTCACGGCCTCTCCTCTAGTGTCCCTGATCCAGCCTCACCCGCCCCGCTCTGTGCCCCCAGGCTCTCCAGGACACCCCTCCTTCTCCTCACTCACACACCCCGGGAGCCCTTTGCTCTAGCTGCCCGCCCTGCCTGCAATCCCCGCCTCAGCTATCTACCTGATGAACCCCCTCATCTTCTTCAAGACTTTGCTCAAATCGCACTTTCTCAGTGAGGTTCAGCCTGACCACCCCACTTGGTATAGTGGATCCGCGGATGGACCTATGTATGGTTCATTGAGTCCGCGCCTGTGGAACCGCGAATACCGAACGCCAATATGCAACCGCAGATACCGGGAACAGCGAAACACCTTTTTATAAAAGGAGTTTGAAAACCCACGGATTTCAGCGTACGCAGAGGTCCTGAGTCAATCTCCCACTGCACCTAGCAGCCCCTCCGGGCCCTCCGTCTCCCCTTCCTCCACTTTGAATTTTTTTGTTTAATCCGTGTGTAACATACCATATAGTCTACTTACTCATCTATTGTATGGTTTATTGACTGTTTCCCCCACTAAAATGTAAACCCCGTGAGGGCAGGGATCTCTGTCCGTTTTGCATGCCAGTTTATCTCAAGTGTGCAGACCAATGTCTGGCAGAGGGTCGTTAACTTAATAAAAGTGTGGAAGGAGTCCCTAAGATGCCACCACAATATGCATCAAAATGCCTTCCTAGACACCCGGATTCGTGTCTGAATCCTCACCGGTTCAGCCCCATTCCTTGGGCCAAGGGTTTGGGCCCCAGATTACAATGCCAAGGCCCCTGTGAGAGGTATTAAGCTTTATCCATCTTCTTCATTCTACCGTGAACCGTGGTTTAGATTTGGTTGGTTAGGAGAGAAATCTGGCTTCTTTACCATTCTGGTGTGTTCACACTCAATTTTCAAGCTAAGAGAGAAAAGTCAGAAATGACACAAATCTGAAGATCCCTTCCATTTAGCTTTAGAGTGCATCACCATAGGCTGTGTTTCAGAGGTCCGTGCACCTGTTTATTTGTTTAATACTAAAATTGTTTTGCACCCCTCTACACACTGCAGAGCACCGAAAAATTGATGCTTTTGAACTGTGGTGTTGGAGAAGATTCTTGAGAGTCCCTTGGACTGCAAGGAGATACAACCAGTCCATCCTGAAGGAGATCAGCCCTGGGTGTTCATTGGAAGGACTGATGCTGAAGCTGAAACTCCAGCACTTTAGCTACCTCATGCGAAGAGTTGACTCATTGGAAAAGACCCTGATGCTGGGAGGGATTGGGGGCAGGAGGAGAAGGAGATAACAGAGGATGAGATGGCTGGATGGCATCACCGACTCGATGGGCATGAGTTTGAGTAAACTCCGGGAGTTTGTGATGGACAGGGAGGCCTGGCGTGCTGCGATTCATGGGGTCGCAAAGAGTCGGACACGACTGAGTGACTGAACTGAACTGAACTGAACTGAACACACTGCAATAAAGGAATAATGACAATATTGGACAGTGCTCAGTGGGCTGGGCTGTGACAGGTGTTCCATCACATTATTTCATTTCATCCTCAGTGCTGAAAGGATAATGCTGGCGCTACTGTTGTGATTGCCATCCCCATTTTACAGACACAGAAACTGAGACTTAGAGACTTCGTGTGTCCAGAGTCATCCGGTTAGTAAACAGTGGAGCCTGCTTCTTGGGAGAAAAGCGATGACAGACATAGACAGCTCATTAAAGAGCAGAGACATTACTTTGCCTACAAAGGTCCAGGTAGTCAAAGGTATGGGTTTTCCAGTAGCCATGTATGGATATGAGAGTTGGATCATAAAAAAGGCTGAACACAAAGAAGAATTGTTGCTTTCAAATTGTGGCACTGGAGAAGACTCTTGAGAGTCTCTTAAACAGCAAGGAGATCAAACCAGTCAACCCTAAAGGAAATCAACCCTGATATTCATTGGAAGGACTGATGCTGAAGCTGAAGCTCTAATACTTTGGCCACCTGATGTGAAGAGCTGACTCATTGGAAAAGACCCTGATGCTGGGAAAGATTGAAGGCAGGAGGAGAAGGGGATGACAGAGGATGAGATGGTTGGATGGCATCATCAACAGAGTGGGCATGAGTTTGAGTAAACTTTGGGAGATAGTGAAGGACAGGGAAGCCTGGCATGCTGCAGTCCATGGGGTCACAAAGAGTCAGATACTACTGAGTGACTAAACAACAACACAGTAGCTAGAAGTTGAGAATTAAAGATGAAAACCTATCTTTGGTTTTCGGAATAAATGATAGCCCACTCACTCTGTGAACTCTTTTTTTTCTTATTATTTTTTTCTTATTTATTTTTATTTATCTTCATTGTTGCCTGTGGGGTCACAAAGAATCAGACATGACTTAGCAACTGAACAACCACAACAAAATGATTGCAAAGTATGCCTTAGGGGGTTCACAGGGAGCTGGGTGACTGAGAGCTGGTGCCCTGTGTCAGGGGCACCGGCAGGATTTACAGCCAGGCTTTTCTCCAGGTAGGCGCCATGTAAATCTAGCAAGTAAATATTACCTTCATGCCTCTCCAGTTTCGTTTTTCACTTCTCTTTTCAGCTGTGAAACGTGTTCTTTGCCTTCCAGAAAAAGGTACTTTCTAAATATTTGGTCTTCCAACGATCACCCATATCTCAGCTTCTCATTTTGGAACACATCCCTGGGTGCTCCCTTTCCAAGGAACAGATTCTCAATGTGTCAAACAGAAGCCATCCCGAATTCCTACTGGGGTTTGGGAGGTGGTGGGAGCCAAGGAGGGATCTTTCTGTCTTTCTTGACCTGACTGTACCCCCCAGTGAGGCTCTTGCCTCTGCTCTCCTGGGCGGGGTGCTACAGATAAGCAGTCTTCCGGTGTTGTGTATGGTGTAATATCTGGATGCGAAGGTGCCTTTTCTCCAGCCCTCTTCCCACTACATCTTAAATGTCTTCAGAAAGAGAACTGTGTTCATTTTTCTTTGTCTGAGTCTAATGCTTGGTGTACAGGGACACTCACTGTATGTTGAGTGCATGATTCATTCTGGAAAATATTCCTTAAAGTGATCACAAAATTTTTTTTGGAAGCAATTAAGAGTGCACTGAATTTGTTAATTACAATACATTTGTAAGAGTGAAAAACTTGGAAAAAATCTAAATACCCAACATAAAAGGTTGGTTAGATGAAAATAGTAAGACATTATTGTAGCAGCCACTATCGAAAACTGTATGCTGAGTGCTCAGTCGTGTCCAACTCTTTGCAACCCCGTGGACTGTAGCCCACCAGGCTCCTCCTTCCATGGGATTTTCCAGGCAAGAATATGGGAGTGGGTTGCCATTTCCTGCTCCAGGGGAATCTTCCCAACCTAGGGATCAAACCTGCATATCTTGCATCTCCTGCATTGGCAAGCAGATTCTTTACCACTGTGCCACCCGGGAAGCCCAGAAAACAGTATGGAGGTTCCCAAAAAGCTAAAAATAGAGTTACCATATGATCCAGCAATCCGACTCCTGGGCATATATCCAGAAAAGATGAAAACTCTAATTCAAAAAGATACATGCACCCCAATGTTCAAAGCAGCACTATTTGTAATAGCCAAGACATGGAAGAAAACTAAATGTCCATCAACAGAATGGATAAGGAAGATGTGGTATATTTATATAGTTTACACAATGGAATATTAGTCACCCATAAAAAAGAATGAGATAAAGGCATTTGCCGTGATGTGGATGGACCTAGAAACTATCCTCCTTAGTGAAGTAAGTCGGACAGAGAAGGAGAAATATCATATAATATCACTTATATGTGGAAGCATAAAAAGGGTACAAATGAACATATTTACAAAACAGAAATAGAGTCACAGCCTGAGAGAACAAGCTTATGGTTACCAGGGGCAAGGAGGGAAGCGATAAATTGGGAGGTTAGGATTAACACATATACACTATCATATACAAAACAGGTAACTAATAAGAACCTGCTGTGTAGCACAGGTAGCTATAGGCAATATCCTGTAATAAACCACAAATGGAAAAGAGTATGAAAAAGAATAGATACATACATATATATGTATATAATGAAATCACTTTCTGTACTCCTGAAACTAACATAGTATTGTGAATTAACTATAGTTCAACTTTTTAAAAAAGATTTTTAGTCATTTGCTCCTCAAAACAACCCTATGAGGGAAGCACCATTACTCCTGTTTTACAGACTGCTGTGGACATGGAGAGCTGGCTATGCTGTGTTATATGAGGGTCACTTCACAGCTGATGAATGCTGGCAAACCTGCGATCTGAACCCAGCCGTCTGTCCTCAGAGTCTCTGCTGTCACCTGTCTCGTGGATAAACCAGGGAGCCCCCATACAGAGATGTGAACCACAACAAGGAATTATACTAGTGATATGGACAAAGACTATTTACACTGTAAGAGAACAAGCTATAAAATTTTATGTGTGTTATGATTCCATTTTTCTTTTGAAGGCAAGTG